TACCCCCCGCGTCCCATCTCGTGTGCTTACTGGAACAGCTGCGCTCCCAGTAACGGAGAGCTGTGTCCCGTAGGGTCTCGTCCGCGAAACGCACGCGGAAAGGGCAACACCGTTTTCGAAGGCCTGGGCCTTCTCCGGAGGAGCTGTGGGTGAGCCCGGCCTGGAGCTTTGAGGAATTCGTGCTGTGAGGCCTGCTGAGGGAGGTGAGAGGGGCAGGCGAGGCCTGCGGCACACACGCCTCCCTGCACATCGACCTGCAGGGGGTGCTCCGCCACCACTCTTGGGGAAAGCCAGCCATCAACCCATCGCACTCCCAGGAGCCAGGCCCAGGGTGCCCCCCACCCCCACCGCCCACCTTGTACCATCCTCCCAAGCCCACCCAGTCCTGAGAAACACTGTCTGCCACGCTCTGGCTGTGTGGCCCCAGCTGTGGGCACGGCGGGGCTGGATTGGGAAGGCCTCCTCCCTCCCTTGATAGAGATGGAGGCACAGGGGTTTGCTACGTTTTCGTTGCCCAGGCTCACAATGCTAAGGTCTGAAGGCTCCTTTTCAGAGAAGCGTTTTAGCCACTGGAATGAGAATCTGGACTCGGGCCTGAGGTAGCGTTGAGCCCCCAGCCCAACTGTTCAAGGGCTGTTTCCTTTGTAAAAGGGAGGCCCTTGTGTGTGCTTTTTCAGACAGCCACGGAGGGCCGGTTAGTGCCTGAGGAGTGCCCAGCCCAGCGCCTGCAGGGCCCAGAGCAAAGACCTCGACCTGGGAGCTTTCGGCATGACCCGGATGCCAATTGTTTGTAGTTAGAAAGTATTATCATTGCCAGTCCTCATCATGCTACTTCCTGATCACATGACCTAGGCCCAGGAGGACTCAACCCCCCTTTGAGACTCCAGTGTGTGCTTTTCTCTTTTAAATTCTCCACCGGACAGGCACGATTCCACCCTTCTCATGAGAGTTTGCTGGGCATTAAATAGCTTAGGCGCTGCCTCCAGGGCAGGACCTGGCTCGGGGCTTGTATCAAAGAGGGGAGGGTACTTGATCCTGTTACCCTGACTGGGATTCATTTTGGCTTTAGGGATGGCAGATGGGGAGTGTGGTCAAGCGAGAGGAGGGCCTGCTTGATCTATATGTCGATTTGGAAGTGTCATGTGTGACCTTATTTCTCTGACCACGTCTGTCTGTCCGTATGGCTCTAAGGAGCATGGTTTCCATCAGTCGACTCAAGCTCCAACCAGCTGGTGCCTGGACGGGGCCTGGTTACCTAGTGACCCAGCAGTTACCTGCTTATGATCACCTATCCTAGGCAGGCCTCAGGGCCACGCAAGGATGCGAGAGGCACCTCAGGGCTGCCTGCAAGTGTCGAGTCTCAGTCTAGCTGCGCATGGGGTGTTTTTGACGAAACTGTATGAAGATGCTAGCCCCCATTTTTGTGTTTGCGATTTTAAATTCCATCCCTGTGGTGTATTATATCTTGTGAGACTCTGTTTCTTTATCTAGCTTGATTGGCTTCAAGTGCCTGGGTTGGCATATGACATTTCATTTCACTTCTGTGCCTACTCTGACCCATTGCTAGTGTCTGCTTAGAGCACTGTGTTATCGGTGGGGTCGTATGCTGTGATCAACTAGCACTGTCTGCCACGGGCACAGGATTAGGAAGTCGCCTGTGCGCCAGGCAGTTGTTCTCCGGGGTCTTTAAGTTTGCAGACAGTTCGGTCTGTTCACCCTTCACCCCTGTGTCAGCCTATTAAAGCTACAGATATTTGTTTCGACTTGCTTTTCTGCCTTCTTTACAGTGATGATATATAGGTTCGGGTGAGCTGTAATACCCACATTCTTCTCTTATCCCCGTTTTTTTTTCATCCCTTACTATTGGACATAGAGAAATAGAGGAAGACATGGATTTTTAAGTGGGTGGACTGATTTTTAGCAGATTGATCACTGGATTCACGGATGGCTATATAGAATCATAAGAGTTTGTAGATGATTGTTTGGGTGGAGTTCATGAATGGGAGAGAAGTTCCTGAATGCGTTGGTTGAAGGACCTGGTCCTTAGATAAAATGTATGCAGGGAGGGATGGGTGACAAGGAGAATGAATACATGAGTGGATTCGTGGATGAGCTCTCACGTGCAGAAGACCTGATTTCATGGGTAGATCTATGTCACCGCAGATGAATGGATGGATGGATGGATTCAGGATGGGGGTATGACTGCTTTGGCGGAAGACCTGGTTCGTGGGTGGCAGATGGATGGATGAATAAGTAGGCAGATGGAGAGTCATGGATGAATGGGTGAAAGGCAGAAAGGAGGGGAGACTATTCCTTCTCCCCAAGTCCCCCTTCCATCGGTCCTATGACTCACTGGCTGGTCTTCCTGACTGTGGAGAATTGGGAGCTGTTACTTCTCAGGGACCCCAGGTCACTTGTCTGACGCAGCAAAATCTTAAGACTCTCTGTGGACGAAGGCAGCTGCTGGTAGGACAGTCGGCCCCTTGAAGACAAATAGACCACAACTGGTATGAGTAGTCAAGGAGCCCTGGAGGCACTGGTAGGTAAGCGCTGGACGGCCAGTTACAAGGCTGGAAGTTCAAAACCACTAGCAGCTCCAGGGGCGGGGAAGATGTTGCTGCCTGCTCCCTTAAGGATTGACCGCCGTGGAAATCGCTCTGAGTTGGAATCTCCTTGATGGCCGCGGGTGAGTGGGTGGGTGGGCGGGCGGGAGTCGTCGGGGTTGCCCACCTTCCCCCTACCCAGCCGACCGCCCGACACTTACCGCAGGTCAGGGAGGAAGACGACGTCGGGACACGGCGCGGAGCCTCGCCGGCGGTGCTCCCACGCGCCCGCGCGCTGATGCGATTCTGAGGCGGCTGGGAGCCGGAGGAGGCGGAAATCGTTAAGCACCCGGCCACGGCAGGGCTGTCGCACTAGGCTCTTCCTAGTTAGACAGCTTTGGAACCTCAGTGCCCGTATCCGGAAAATGGGGGCAAGAGTGGAGATGGTGCCACGGAAGCGTCCTTCTCTGCAGGGGGTGTGACAGGGGCGGGGCCGTGGGACTGGCCCCTCCCACCGGAGGTGGTCCCGCCCCTCCCGCCGGGAAGGGACGTGAGATTGGTCACTCCTGCCGGAAGTGGCCCCGCCCCCTCCCGCCCCGCCCTGTCCGGTCCTCACTCGGTGGCTTCGGCCGCCGCTCCTCGCTCTCGGGCCGGAGTTGGCACAGGAACTCACGGACCCTGCAAGAAAGGAGCTCGCGTAGCAGGCCCCCTAAGGCGCCCGGGGCCTCCCCGGCCTGGCCCCGCCGCTGGTCCGCCCTCGGGGCAGGCGCGGGTCGCTGGGGCGCCGCTGAGCCCCGGGGCGCGCCCGCCGGGAAGAGGGGCGGCAGCAGCAGGGAGCTCTGCAGCGCCGGGTTCCTCGCCACCCGCTGAGGCACGGCGGGCAGGGTGGGCAGGCGCGGCGCCGAGCGCCCCACGTGCCCCCGAGGCTCGGTGGCCAGGTGCCCCAGTGTGTCCCCGAGCCCGCGTCGGGGGACCTGCCACTTGGCGGGTTCCGCTCGGAGCTCGGGTGGGGTCAGCCAGGGCAGCAGTAGGCAGCTTTTGAGCGGGAGCGCGCAGTCATCTGGAAGCCCATCGGGCGCCACTTGCCGGACCCCCGGCTTGAAGCGAGACTGGGGCATGTCTGTCCCCGCGCTCAGCTCAGGGTATCCTCAAGCCAGCGAGGAGCGGGGAGTGCCGCGGGGCGGGGGCCGGGCAGGGCAGAGACTGAGCCGGCCATGGAGCCGAGAGGGCACGTTAGGGGTTAACATCACGAGGGCTGCAGACAGCGCCCTGGGCCAGAGACCCCCCCACCGGAGCCTCTGTTTACTCATTTGTTAAGTGATGACGGCGGGAGTGCCTGCCTTTTGGGGTGCTGTGACGTTTCAATGAGCCCCTACCTGGGGAGCTGCCTAGAACGGTATCTACCGGGCTCATTGGATGTGCCCAAGAAAAACTCACCACTATTTTTCACACGTTAAAATTTGTAGTATTTAGGGTTCGTCTCAGCTCCACCTCACCGCCTATTGGGCTAGTTTCAGGCACTTCTCCCACGTTTGCTCTTGGGGTCCCCACGTGGACAGGGAGACGGAGGAGGACTCGCTAGTAGAGGCGCGCAAGCTGGAGGCCTGGCTGCTATTGGCTCTGGCTGAGAGTTTGGGAAAGGAGCCCTCGTGGGTTGCTCCCTGCACTGCTAACCCCAAGGTCAGCAGTTCTAAGCAGCCAACTGCTCCTCAGAGAAAGGTGAGGCTTTCTAACCCCGTAAAGAGTCACAGTCTCTCGATTCCACCGGGGCAGTCCTACCCTGGCTATGAGTCAGAATTGAGTAGCTAGCCATGAGATTGGTTTCTGTGGTTGGGAGTTGGGGTGCGAGCGCCCAGCTTAGACAAAAGGAAGAATGGAATTTGACCAGCAGGTCACCAGTCCTGGTGATTCTTGACAGACCCTGGGAGGAGAGCTTGTTGAAAATACAGAAGCCCCCCACCCCCCTAGATTGTGTTTCAGATGGAGGTTGAGGAGATAAGACGTATTTTTAAGACTGCCTTCTCTGGGAGCCAGAACCTTAGCCCTGCTCCCAGCTCTGACATAGGGGTTCCCCAAGCCTGCTTCCTTCTCCCCCCCACCCCACCCTTAGACTGTTTCAGCCCGGAGCTGGCTCCTGGTGTCACACTCACCCTGGTGGGACTTCTGGGTGGGGCCTGAGAAGGTCCCGAGAGCTTAGAGCCCCCTAACAGGTGGGCTGGTTCTTGAGGGAGCCCATCTTTCCGGCCCTGGTCCCACTGTGGGCCCCTCCCTGCTGCCTCAGGATCTCTTAAGGGTCATTGTGATCCGCCCTCACTCACGGTCAACTGGGGCAGTGAGCACTGAGGTCTGTGGGTAGAGGGTGGGGCTCTGTGACCAGGGGGCTGAAGGGGTGAGGGGCATTTGGGACTTCTGACCAGGGAGGGCCAGGTGGGTTTTCGGGAGGCAGGAGGCTGGCTGGCACCTGAAGCAGAAGCCGGAAGACTGCTTCAGCGAGTCATGCAGTGAGTGCGTGTGGGAATGGAGCCTGCATGCTCTGCTTCGGTTTTCTGTGTGATATTGGGCAAGTCCTCCCTCCCAGCTCCGCTGCAGCCTGGACTGATAGGCTCTCAGCTGAGGGGAAGGGAGGTACACATTGTGGAACATCCTGGGACAGTCAAGAGTAGTCTAAATAAGCAATTCTATTACATCCATATGGCTTTACAGTTGAGAAATGAAACTATGGCTTTGTAATTCAAATGACAGGGCATTTACCTGGGAGATGAGGCATCTAAAGAGACCGTCCATCTCCTTCAAATGCCCACGTGTGTAGGGACCCACTTCACCTAGGAGAATTCTGACTTTAGAGGGGAGGGGAGAAATTTTATATCCACCCAAAGTGTGTGTTGACTGTTATGATGGTTACAGAATCATTTGGGGATTCAAAGAGGTTTGTGGGACCAGGATCTTGAAAAGCCATGAAAGTCTGCCCCTGGGGAAGGGGTTTTCTCTTCTATGGGCAGGTGGGGAGCAAAAAAAAAAAAAAACGGCGAGGGTAGATGCTTAGGGAGGAGCGTGGTGGTAAAAATGACTAAGCATCGGCTGCCTACTGAACCCATCATGCTTCTGTGAGGGAGGTGGGGGCAGCCCCGAGAGCAAGGTTGCACCATGTGGATAGAAGAGTTGTGAGACCAAGGGGGAGGGGGAGGGTCTCTCATCTTCTCAGGAGAGCCCAGTGAAGAAGCACTCTGTCGGGGGTAAGACTGAAGAACACCACCTGAGAGATGATTCCGAGCCGTAAGGGAAATTGAAGGGATGGGTACAGCGGCAAGAAGAGGGGCTTCGCTTTTGCAGCTCTCGATGGATGACCAAGGTCATACTGTGAATGGCCACAACGGTGAGCTAAAGAAGGAGCAAGAGATGGCCATGTCTCATCCAACCAAAGCGGTTGGACCAAAGGCTCTGGGAACTCGGCCGGTGGTCATCGACGTGGTTTGGGTGGGAATGGCAACTTCAGTGGTGGAGGCTACTTGAAGGGCAAGGTGACCGGCAGCTCTGATGACGGATAAGAGGCAGTGAGGGTGGTTAGGATGGATGGGAAAGATGATAGCAGTTCTGGGGGTAGTGGAAGCACCACTGATTGCAGCGATTACAGCAATCTATCTTCAAATGACAAACCCATGAATGGAGGAAGCTTTGCAGGCAAATGCGCTGTCCCTTATATTGGTGGAGGTCGATACCTGCCTGGCCAACACACAAAGCCAAGGGGCTATGGTGATCAAGGCAGCAAGAGTAGCTTAGGCTGTGGCAGAAGGTTTTAATGAGGGACAGGAAACCACGCTCAGCCGGAGAGGGAGCCAGAGAAGTGACAGAGAAGCTACAGGCTACAGCGGCGATGTGAACCCCGCCAAGCACAGTGGCAGCTGGGCCGAGCTGCTGCAATGAAGTCATATTTTATTTTTATTTTCTTTAAGTCTTTTTATTGGGGGCTCTTACAGCTCTTAGATAACAACCCCTACATCAGTTGTATCAAGCATATTTGTACATATGTTGCCATCACTTTTATAAATGAAGTCATGTTTTAGATACTACCCCTGCGTATGGGCAAAAGGTCTGGTATTCGTGACTAACTGTAGAACAGGCAACCTTAGGTTCTGTCCTGTGGAAAGTGTATGCATCCCAACAAAGGGTTTTAGTTTTGCACGGACCACTGCTAAAATGTCTTTGATGATGATGCTGTATAGGCAAAGCTCCTCTCCTCTGAAGCCATCTTGATAAACCATGTCAACTTTGGAATTCCTTCAGGGTGATGCCAGATTCCATTCAAAACTTATCTACCTGAGAAGTTGGCTTTCAACCAAAGAAGCCATGTTGTCAGAAAATTTGGCACAGTGCAGTGTGCCCCAAAGTGGGTGATACCGCACCCCGGGATGCTGGAATGATATTGCAAAAGTAGATAGCTACACTTTCTTCTAGGTTGTGGACAAATGTTTTTTCATTGCTAGAGGGGCACTAAAAATAAATTTTTTATTTTTAGGCCAAATAACTTTGGGAATGGGTGGTGGTGTGGAACTGACGGTGTGCTGGAACCTGGGGTTCACCACTCAGAATGGTTACCCCAGCAAAGTTACAGAATGGGTGATGGTTGACATGTCCTATGCAGTATATCTAAATTAAATTATGATACTAGAGAAAATTATAGATGGGACTGAAACATATCATCCGATATCATGTACAATCAATCATTTAATAGCATGAAGGAAGAAAGAGACATGCTACTGGGGCATGGGACAATGCTACTCTGTCACATGGGGTTGCTGCAAGCTGACAACAACAGATTTTCAGACACATGAAGAGCTGGGGTCAGAGGTCTCCCCCCAAAGAGAATTCTAGGCACTGCCAGCAGTAACGCCCAGAATCTGCCTTCTTCCCTTAGAGACATGGAAAGCTTGGAAGAGGCCAGGGCAACCAAGTCTGACCTGGCACAGGCTAGAGAGGAGGCCACATAATTTGCACATAAACAGATCTGGGGGGGCCAAGTGCAGGAATGACTGGGCAGTGTCTCCCCTTTCTGCCTCCATGGTTTTCAGTTCATTGGGGGGCCAGGGGGGAAGCAAAGACAAAAGCCTACATTTTGAGCAACTCTGTAAATTTAAAACTAACATGTCAGCTTAGGAAAAATGAACTTAGTAATGATGAATATTTCCTAACTGCTTCCGGCTGAAGGCTTGACATGAAATATCCCACTAATTTAACCCTTGGTGTCTTGGAAGTTGAGTAATTACCTCTAACTAGCAGAAAAGGTCACTGAAGCATGAAGTCAAAAGAGCCGATCTACCTGCAGGCTCGCTTTCCCACCTGCCTGCTTCACGGTCCCATTCCAGAAACTCTAGAAAAACGGCCTGCGAGGGTGGGCAGCCTGTGTAGAACAGAAACGTCAGCAACTTACTGTTTATGGGGATGACAATCCCTTGGCTGCGCCAAACAACAGAACAAGCAAAAGCCACTGCCATCTAGTGGGCTCCGACCGAGACTCACTCTTCACAGGAGCAGCCAGCCTCATGTCTCCCACAGGGCCACTGTTGGATGCGGACCCCAGACCCGACTCTTTTTCTTTCCTTTCTTGATTTTTTTTTTTGTGGGGGGCGGCGGTAAATTCATCTAAGATGCTAATGGGGATGGGTGGGAGTGAGGAACACAGGCTTTTCTACCCAACGGTAAACCCACAGAACAGTTTTTTAAAAGATGATTTTATTGGGGGCCCACACAACTCTTGTTACAATCCATACATCAATTGTATCGACATAGTATATATATTCCATCGTTCTTTTCTAGACATTTACTTTCCATTGAGCCCTTGGGATCAGCTCCTCTTATCCCCCCACCCCCCCCAACCCTCGTGGCCCCTTGATAGATTATGGATTGTTAATTATTTTCAAATCTCACACCGACCACTGCCTCCCTTCCCCTCTGGTGTCTGTTGTTGTTCCCTCTGGATGGGGACTGTGTGGTTATGTGCCATTCATTACAATCGGTGCCCCCTCCCTCCCCACCTCTCCCCTTCCCCCTACCCTTTTGGTATCTTTATTCCCATTCCTGGGTTCCAGGAGAACATTCGTTTTTCCAAAGGCCACACGAGCGGGTGCTGAGCTGCAGACCGGTCGAGGGGCTGCGCTGCGGGCCGTGCAAGTCCGGTAGGGCTTCCGACCCAGACGAGCCCCGGCGACCGGAAGAGCCGATCGGAGCCCCGCCCCCGGACGCCCGGAAGTGACGCCATCAGACAAAGGCAGCGTGCGCCGGGAGCTGTCGCGCTCGCCGGTGGTCTGGTGGGGTCTCGGCTGCTCTCCGCTCCTCCCCGTCCTCGTCTCCCGGGGTCCGGGGGCCCCCGCCCGGGGTGAGTAGCGCGAGGCGGTGCGGAGGGCGACGGCTTCTGCGAGAACGGAGACCCGGGTCCCCAACGGTCTCAACCCCTCCAGGAGCCGGCTGGCCACGTGACCCGGGCGCGTCGCACTCGTGCCGGACTAGGCCCCTAGTGCATGCCCCCCGGAGGGCCGCACCCCAAGCCTGCACCTGGCATTCGCGCACGTTGGCTCCCAGACCCAGCCCACAGCCAGTCTTTGCTCTGAGCCTCAGTTTCCCCTCAGAAACGCTTGTGAGAACTTATTAAAATGTTGAGTTCAGAGCTTGGCACATTTCTGTGCCCATTGCTGTTGACCTAGTTCAACCTTGGGGTCAGTCCCAGCGCAGCATGTAAACCAGCTAAGAGCCCTCTGGGCCAAGGTCATTCCCGACTGCTGGAGGCTACCAGATGGGAAAGACCTGGTTTTACTGCCCACCAGCTCCGTGCCCTTTCCCGTCTTCAGACCTTGGTTTCCTCGTCATTACCCTGAGGGATTGAAACAGCTGGTGTTGAAGGGGTGGGGCCCGTGCAAGCGGGTGGTTGTGATGTGCAGAATGATGGTCTGGTGCCATGGGATGGGCTTCTGGGAGGGCCTGGGCAGTTACTGGGGTGAGAAGCCTGCTTCTGCATGTTTCCTTGGGGGTGCACGTGGCTTTCCTGGGTGCATTGCCCGTTTCCTCTTTGTTAACTGGCACAGAGGACAAGAGGTCCCTGTGGGACGCGCTTGTGGAAGTCAGAAGCCAGAGAGAGTCACAAGGGTCTGGGGAGCTCAGTGTACGTGCTGGAGGGAGCCCCACCATGGCCCCTTGCGGGTTTGCAGACCTGCAGGATTGACTGCAGCAGGGCAGTGGTAGGCCCTGAGGTGTTAATGCTAGTCTAGGTGTTAATACTAGCATTTGAACCTATTTTCCTCATTTCACCGCGTTAATGGTAAGGTGACCAGATTTAAAGTGGGACACCATTGACGGGGGTGGGGGGTGGGGTTCTTGATGAAAAATTTGGTCTATATGGACCAAATAGACCATTCCCTAGCTTGTTGTGCATTCTTTCAAAAAATCGGGACTTTTTAAAAACGCCAAAAATCGGGACGTCGGGTCACCTTAGTTAATGGGCAGTTGATGAGAATCTCTTAACAGATGACAAAGATCAGGAGAAGCTCCTCGCCAGGTACGCTGTGGAGCAGTTTGCGCTTTTCACATTCACTCGCTCCACCCGCTCAAACCCAGTGTTCGCTTCTCCTTTTATAGGGAAACAAACAGTGGGTCCGAGGTTAAGTGTCAGAGCTGAGCTTACACAGAAAAACACAGCGGACCCTAAGACTTGCTTTAGCTGATGACCCCAAAGCCTGGTTTTTCACTTTAAAATCTGTGTCTTGTCTTTTTCATGGAGCCGCCGCCGGTCTCTTGTGTTGGACTTCTGTCCACACAGGTCCACTGGGAACAGGCCCTGCCCATGAGGCTGCAGGAGGGAGGAGATCATTTCAGACAGGTTTTTGTTGCTTGTTACTTTTAGGATTTGGGGAGTGATAATTATGTGAGGCGTTTGATTCTGTCAAGGCCTGATAGTGAGCACTCCAGCACCATCTTCTTCCATGGGTGTTGGAGAGAGAGAAGTAGAAGCTGGGGTGGTTGTCCTGATGCCTCCTGAAAGCGCCGTGGAGAGGTGGGGGAGGCCAGTTGACGATGAAGGATGCGCAATTCATGTTCCACCTGCTACGATGAGCAAAGGGCTGCTCACCCACCTCCAGGCTGATTTACAGTGCACACAAAGCCAGGCCCTTGCAGCCTACAGTGCCTCACTGTCCCTTGGACTCAAGTGTAGAGGCCTCCCTGCAGTTTGACTGGCTGGCCCTGCAGTCCCCTCTGATTTCCAGGGACCACCTGCCCTGCTCCAATGTGGACGCTGGTGGTGAAGTGAAGACAGAGTCCTGGGACTCATGCAGCCTGTGGAATCGGCAGTTGGACCCAATGTCAAGGTTCCACTGTACTTGACTGCCAGCCTGTGTGCCCTGCTGGGTCCCTTCCTTGTTCGTGGGATTCTTGGTAGTTAGGGTATTCAGAGACTGGACATTTAAAGGAGTCACGTGCTAAAGCTTTTGGTCAAGCAGAAAATTAGAGTGTTGCTCTTAGTGCTACCCATTTTGAATGGTTAAGTTTGGTTTTGTTTTTGTCTGTAGGATTCTCTTGAAAGTAGAAAGTGGTTGTAGGTATATAAAGCTCGTTCATTTATTCATTCATTCAGTAAGCAATCACTAAACACCTGCCTTGTATCAGGTGCTGGGCTTATGGTGTCCGAGGTAACATCCCTGCTCCCCGAGGAGCTTACAGGTGAGTCTGCTGGGGAGGCCGGCAGGTAGGCAGCGTGCAGCATGGAGACCTGCTCGTATGATCAGGAGTGCCAGGACACTGGGGGAGCAGCCTTGCAGGAGCCACAGGAATGCAGCAGTTAGGAGCCGAGGGCCCCCTAAACCTGTTGCCCTAGGAAGTGAAAATTCCACGGTGAGTGCTATCCTTCTAGACTCAACTACAACCAATGGAGCGTTGAAAGGTGTCCGGGGAACAAAGACCTAGAGCCAGCAGGTGTCCTGGAGGAGTAAGATTTCCACTTGACTCGAGACCCTGCCCTGTGTCTGCGCACAGCCACTTCCTGGGGGAGTAGACAGGCCGGTGTTGGGACCCGTCAGCCCTCTGTCAGACACTGCACAGAGGTGAATAGGCAGCACCTGCCCTCTGCAGCTTATATTCTAGTGGGACGGGAAAGACAGTAAACCAATAAAATACTTTCTGATAGAAATACACACGGGAGGCAGCAAAACAGTGATTGGATAAGGGAGCTGGAGGATTGGAGAAAGCTACCTGAAAGGCTGGTCAGGGAGGGCCACCCTGAGGAGGTGACGTGCTGAAGCCTGGGTGGAGAGAGCTGACCAACTGCATGTGGGAGGAGCTGTCAAGGGCAAGGGCTCCTGCAGATCTCTTGGCCTTAGGTTTGGGTTGGTCACCTGACTGGCCACCTGGTATCAGTTCTCCTACCTACATAGTGGAGGCAACTGTGGGACTGACACAGTAATTTGGGAGGGAGAGTCCCTGGTGAGTGAACAATGCTTAGCTCGAATCCACACCTAACTAACTACCATGGTCCCCAGGCTGCTCATTCCATACCAGTACTCTACTGTGGTCACAGCGCACGCCTGCACCCTCAGAACCTCTCCCACAATTGGTTTCACTTAATGACAGGCTAGACCCATCGTCCCCAACATGTGCTTAGGACCCCCACCCTCCAGGCCCAGGATGCCCCAGACCTTGCAGCACTGTCAATCTGTGCTGGCTCTGCGGTCTCCAGAGCGCGTCCACGTTGGCCTTCTCTGGGCCACCACCCCTGCTCGCCTTCCCAGAGGGCTCCTCCAGCCTTTGGACCCCACAGAACTTCCTGGCCTGTTTTGTGGACTCCATATCTTTCAGGCCTTTCCCACTGCCCTGCAGGCGGGGATTGGCATTCTGTCTGGGGGATGCCTCAGAACAAGGAACTCAAGTGGTACGGTGGGTAAGGGCCCAGCTACTAAGGTCAGTGGTTTGAGCCCACCAGCCATTCCACAGGAAAGCCCAGCTTCTATAAGATCACACCCTGAGAAACCCAGGGGGGCAGTTCTGCTCTATCCTATAGAGTCATTATGAGCTGAGATTGATTCGAGAGCAACACGTTTGAGGTGGGGTTTTGTGTGTGTGTGTGTGTGTGTGTTTAAGCTTCATCAGAGCCACAGGATCAGTGCCTTACAGGTGGTGAGCATCTGTTGGCGAGTGCCAGCGCCTCAGGTAGAAGTGTGATCCTTCCACCCCTCCCCAGCTTGATGTGGCCAGGCTGCCCAGCGGCCTGTCTCCGGGAGCGGGTGGTCATCTTTGGCTCTATAGCCAAGGCATGGCCTGCTGTTCTGATTCCCTCTTGACCCTTTGTCTCGTCTCTTAGGCTCTTGCCCACGGAGCTGCCAGCACAATCTTCCAAAAGCACGGGTCTGCTCGCCCTGCTTCCTCTAGAGTCAGGTGAGGGGCAAAGCTTTTTGAGTGCAGCCCAAACCAGTACATGTGACCCGTACGCTTGAGCTTCCCAGTACAAAGGCTCTCTGCCTGTTCGCCGGTCTCCACGGGCCCTCAGCGCTGTATCTGACAGAGGCGGATGAGCACTGGCCTGTTGGCTCCCACAGGAAGCAGTCGAAATCCCTGCTCCCGCCTGGGCCTGTGTTCTCTGCCCACCTCTCCACATTCTGCTGGTGGCCATGTGTCCAGGACACGCGGCCTGGAGCGGCTTTCTTACTGGGGTGGCAGGGGTAGGGGCTCCGTTCTAAATAGGCACTCCTTGGCTCCACCAGTGTCCCCGCAGCATGCTGCTGCTTCACACCTGAATCGTCTCGTAACAACCAGTAGCCCCCACCCCATCCAGCCCCAGAAGGCAAGTGAAGGTCATCTGGTGGCGTTCACACGGGCTCTGGCGGTAGGGTGGCCAGGTGTCAGCGTGGACTGGATGCTGTGAGTTGGTGTGGTAGGCCTAGGAGAGCCGGGCTCACTGACTCCATGCACGGCAGGCCCCCCACCTGCCCTTGTGACATGAAGGATTTACTCCCCCCTTTATTTTTAAATATGTTTTTGGTTTGAAACTAGCACATGTGTCACAAAAGTCCTCTTCAATGTTACTTTTCCTCCTCTTAACTGCTCAGACGTCTGTAGATCCGACGGGTAAGGAGGCTGGAGGGGTTTGGAAGATGGTGACTCTTCTTTCTCTCTCAAATATTATTTAAAATTTAACCCACCCAAAGAAGACACTGCACATAGCTGACAGCCCACAGCACCCAGACGGTGACAGTGTCCTGGTCACACACCCTGCCCCCGCGCAGGGTTTGCGCGCAGCGGCTTCTCTTTCCTCACCCACCCTGCTCCCCTTGTCAAACTCCTCAAAAGACTTTTCCTTTGGTGTAAGCCCCCCCCCACTTTATAATGATGTGAAATCTTTTTCTCTATGAGCTGACTAACTTTGCTGAGCATGTCTTCCAGTTTGGTCCATGTCAGGAGGGGTTGACAGACTCGTCATTGTTTGTTCAGGATGCACAGTAGTCCTGTTGTGGGTCTGGATCAGGGTTTGTGTACCCATTCCTCCGCAGCCGGGGGCTCTGAATGTGTCCGTCTTTGTGCTGTGAGGTCAACGTGAGTGTGCACATCTGCTCTGCCTCCTTCTGTATTTCTCTAGGGTAGGTGCCGGGTGGAGGGACTGCAGAAGCGTCGGGGACTTCTGTTTGGATTTGTCTATTCTGGTACACACTATTCTGGTAGCTGTAGTGACTGTACACTTCCGTGTAAGCACGCCCATGAGTGCTTGTCAGCCAGCCACTTCACGTCTCTCCCCGTTGTAGATAGGCGATTGCTGAATTGCCGCTCCCTATCAATCCAGTATAATGAGGAGACGAGAATGCTTCTCTTTTCTTCTTTTGACAAGGAAAAGCTCAATTGAAAAGAAGGCAGGGGGAAACATTTTTTTTGAAGACAGAAAAATATTAAAACCCTTTAACTGGATCAAGAACAAGCTCCAGTGATGAGGTGTTCAGAATGTTTCTTCCCATGGAGAATCCTCCATCTGCAGCTGTAAGCAAAGTGTGCTCCTGGACAGTCACCCCTCTCCCAGGCTTCCACCGGTTTCCTCCGGTTCTGGTCCTCCCTGCCCAGCCATTCACACCAGGCCCTTTCTCTTCTCTAGCTCCGGAACAAGTCAGCAGTGCCCAGGGAACATTTCCAAATCGGCCCACCTCTTTATTGCCATGTCTCCCCCTCCTCCACCCAACACAGAGACTAGGCGGTGACCACGACCAGCACACCAAACTGCTCCCTGGCTCCCCTTAATGTCCACCCTAGAAGGGGTCTTTCTCTGATGAGCACAGACTTTGCTGCGTCCATGCATCTAAGAGCAAGCTGCTTGCTCAAAAGGCAGACCCGCCAAGCACTCTTTCCTCTGCAGGCCTTCCCTTACGGTAACGCTCCTGTTCTGTCAGCAGGTCTGCTCTGTGTGGGACTTGGGTTTTTCTTTCTAAGCCTGTGTTAGTCTGGGTAGTTTAGAGAAACAAATCCACACAAGCTAGTGTATAAGAGAGTTTTATATAAAGGTTAAGTGCACATCAAGAAAACATCCCAACCCAGTGCTGCCCAAACCCACAAGTCCAACATTAACCCTTATGTCCGACACCAATCCACAAAG